CCTCCACATTCATTCCTTCTGCCATGGGAATTGCTTTCTGACTCTGCCATGACTGCCTTGGAAGCGTGCAGGGCAAGCGTGCAGGTCTCTGGGCATCCGCACAGGAAGAACATTCTTAGACTTGACCTGTTGCGGTGTGTGGCTTCCTAGACTCGCCAGCTGTGAAGGTGAAGCGTGGCCGCTGAAACGCAGGTGACTGGGGGCTTGGTGGATTTCGACGTGTCCTGACGTCGAGTTATGTCTGGAGAATCAGGAAAACTGAGGAAGGAAGAAGGAGTTCTGATAGGATCAAAGGAGTCCAGGAAATGTCAGAACTGTGTCTCATTCACTACTCTGTCATTCACCATCTATAACTTAATATGCATTGAGTAAATTTTTTCAATCCCTACGTGCCTTAAAGGGTTAATTTGACTTGTGCCCAGCCCTGCAGAAAGGCAAATTGCCACATGGGGGCGACAGATGCCAGAAGGTGAGAATAGGTCTCAGTGCAGAGGTGGGCAGAGGGTAAGACCGGCTGCGGGGTGGCTAAGCTGAACTAGAAAGGGAATTGGGAAAAAAGAGAAAGCATGGAAACCATGTTGACCTTTGGGTCCGAGGGACTGCGCGCCCTCATCCGGAGCGTGATAAGGGCTGAGGAGGTGACAACTGGAATTGGATTCTGAGCCAATGGAAGACTTTGTCTCTGAGAACTGTGGGGTAGCGTTGTGTGACTCATTTTTCCTCCAGTGAGGATGAAAAGTGAAAACCCTTCCCAGCTGCACCCTGCTGTGCAAATCCCAGCAGTGTCCCAGGAGGGAGCAGGCACTGTCCCTCCAACCTCTGGCTCAGGAATTGTGGTGAAGACTTCCCAGCCCCTTGCTTTAATTGACAGTAAATTGACTCTGCACACAGGTTCACAGGCCAGAAATCCTACCCCATGGACAACTACAGAGGATAAAGGAGGTGGCAGAGAGAACTCAGCACCGAAGGAGAAATTGGTTTCCTGGCATTTTCTTAACCAATTATTTGCTTACTTGTTCCTCTCCGGCACTGGACTGAGATCTTTCGTGTAAGGAACCAGGCGCTACTTGCACAAAATGAATCAATTTGTTTACCTACTCAGTAAATATTTGCTGAGTCTCTGTGCCAGCCATAAAGGAGAGAAGCCTCCTGCCCCCCTCCAGCCCGTTGATTATAGATACAAGAGAAGCATGTATAGCCAGAACAGTTGGTGAGAGGATGAGTGCGACTGTGGGTTGGCCAGGGCTACGTCCCCTGGGATGTCAGGGAGCTGTCTTTGAGGTCAACCGGCACTGGGATGTCAAGAAAGAGTGCTCTACACAGATAAGGCAACCACAGGAAGATGTTAGAGCGTAAAGGCAATTTTCCCAGAGAACAGGTGAGTCACCCCTGAGCGGAGTTTAGGGAACAAGACCTTGGGTTGATGGTGGAAGTCCAGACAGGCAGTGCACACTTTGGATTAATGAATGAGACTTAAAGATTTCTATCAGATCTTCTCAGAGGCCTGCAACTGCCCACCCCTATGTGAGCAATGCCACATTTAAAGAGAAAGTGGCCGACTCTCTTAAGACGGAAGCACAGAATGATACACGAGGACTGGCACAGGAGGCAGCCTAAGTCTTCAGACCACAAGCTACAATGGGAAAATGTACGAAACGTGATCCCTGAGGGGGAAAGGGTGGAACCCGAGACATGTTCTGAGACAACTGGGTGAGCAAGCAGCTTGTGGTGCCCCCTAAATGTGGCAGGAGTGTTCAAAGAGAGGTGGGGCAGTGATGGGGACATAGGAGAGTCCTGCTGGATAGGGAGCTGCAATAATTGCACAATGAGAAAGATCAGAGCTCAGTCTTCTTGTGAAAGTCTGAAAGGCTCCCAGGGTCCTCGGAGTACCCCTCCTTGGCCTATGGTTTTCCAGACCTTTCCCTGGAAATGCCCACTTCTCATCAGATCCTTACAGGAAAGACAGATGCTAATATGCCCATTTCCTGATTTCTCAGCTGCTGCCACTAACCCCTCGCCGTCTCTGTGCCCCCCATAGCACTCCTGACCACATCACCTAGTAGATGTCTGGAGATGACTCCGAAGAACCCGGGCTTGTTAATTAACCAAAGCAGTCACATTGGTCTGCAAGGTGCATTATTGTTAATTAAAACTGCGATTCTCCTTGTGCCCAGACGGCGGGCTGCTGTTGTCAGAATAATTAGATAGCATACTATGGTTTTCATGCAAATCCCTGGCAATTCGAGTTGGCGGTGAATCGGCTCTGGAATCCCCTGAGGTTCTGGGTCAGAAATCCCTCTGAGGGTGTCTCCAGGAGGAAGGTAGTGGAAAGCCGCGAAAGTGCTCAGAGATGAGGAAATGGCGCTGGGTCACTAACTGCCAGGAGTAGACATTTGTTCTCTGAGTCCTCAGAGAGGTGCTTCTGGCTGAAATAACTGAACCGTCGGCGTCCTTGTGGTGTTTAAAGGTCTTTCAAGGAATACGTCTCTCCTTAAAGGAGCAATGCAAATTGAGCACGCCCCTCCCGCCTTCCCTCCCTCTGGGATCCTGCGCTCCCAAGAGCTTGCCTCCCTGCGCTCATCTTTCTAAGAGCATTTTCTCTCTCGTGTTTTTTTTTTTTCCTTTAGCCAGAAGGGCCAATAACTCATACATGGCTAAAGTCTCTGCCAACGCTCAGATTAAATTCTTACGGGTTCTAAGGAGACAGGATTTGTATTCCTGAAGGATTACAAACACAAACCCAGATCCAGACCATTTCAGAGCGGCTGACGGCAGAAAGGCAGGAGGCTAAAGGAACCGGGGTAGCAGGCTCCTGCAGAAAGCACAGAAGGAATGACTGAGGTCAAGGCTAGACTTGAAGAAGAACTATCCAACTGCAGCATAGAGAAGTGCACCAGGAGCCTCCGCAAGAACGGGGCAAAGGACAGAGATAAGGGGCAGAGCTCTCCCCAGTCCACTCTGACCTCTTATCAGCCTCTGGCTTCTGTCTCTGCCTCTCCTTTGGGAGGGATGCGATAGCCAGCCACGGAGCTGGGGCTCTCTCTAACTGGACACATGGGGAGGTATTTCCATCTGAAGGCATAAGTGAGTTGGGGGGCAAATAGGGGAGCCCTGGTGATCTTCCATAAGGCTTCCCCCTTACAACGGGCTGACACCACTGGGAGATTCAGAGTCAGAAACAACCTCGCCTGCATCTCAACTAGGTCAGTCGCCAAACCCAGTCCTTGGGAAGGGAGGAGGGCAACATCTGGCAGGATTGTGAGAGGAGTCAGGGGCTGCCAGCGGCGGGAGGCGGGGGGAATTTGAGAGGTGACTGGAAAGGGCAGTTAGAGAAAGGGAAAGCGAACTGGGACCTTCAGGCACCGTGGTTGGAGATCTGAGCATGATTTTTTTTTTCCCCTTAATTTCTGCTCCCTTCTTTTCTCTTTCAGAATGTCTCCCGCGTCTCAGTCAGTTCCTAAATCCCGCCTTTCAATTTAGGATGCACCAATCAGGTGCTAACCTGATGGTTGCTAAGAGACAGGAGGTGGGAGATTTAGAGCCTTTGTCACGGCACCCACCCAGAAAAATTCCCTGAGCCTTTTGCACTCTCTTGCTTAAGGTGCTCGACCTCATCTCGGCCCCTCTCCTATTTTCCTCCAAATCCAGGGGGTCAAGCAGAAGCCATTTAGACAAGAAGTTGGGAATAACACATCTTTGAAAAATGGAGAGGCCTTTCTTGGATTCAGGTTCATGTGAGACACTTGCTCTAGTTTTCCCTGCATTAATGGAGTTGGAGGGGGGTACTTTTTTCCTTCTGTTTGTGCCAGTAAAAGTTTGTCCGTGATAAAAGACCTGGTTCTTCATTGTCCTTCCTGTCAGTATCTAAACCTGACTGTGTGGAGGGTAAGAAAATAACCACTCCAGGGTCATGAGTTAGTAGTCAAAGAACTGGGGACTTATCTGGAGGAAAGATGCCCATGGCACAGGTGCATGGTGTATCAGGTAAAGGAAGGATGCACAAGGGACCACATGTATTTGGGATGTTATTTTAAAAGCTGAGGATCAAAAGGAGAGTTTGGGGATTTCTAAGAAGATGATTCAGACTCTAATTTCTCCCTTTACATTTCCCCACCCTTCCCAAATTCTTGATCTTTTCTCTCCTCTACACATCCTACACAGAAAAGACTAGGCATGAAAACCAGGGTAAGGGAAACTCATTTGGTTAAGGAATGAGTCATAAATTCTGCTCTCATATCCCGAGAACAGGAATGGGCACAGAACTCAATGGGGGGGAGGGGGCGCTGGGAGGGACTTTCCTTTCTATCCTCCTTCCACCTTTTTATTACGCAATCCCTATTCCTCCAATCCCTCACTCTTTTGTTCAAATCTTTATCGCATTCCACTCAACAACTTGTACTCCATAACTTACTATACCAATAAACCTACACTCCCTCATTCTTGTCAACCCGTACAAGCTCGTATACCACAATTTATAACTTCCCCCAACTTCTCCTCAAATAAAAATATTCATTTAAATCACCCCCTTACCTTCAACACCCCACTTTTTTTCACACCCCCCTCCCCCCACATCCCATCTCTCACATCCAATCCTAATATTTGTACATTATACTCATATTTTCATTCCTTACCTTTCCACTATCCATCTAATTTCAATATTAAACTTACACCATACCACCTTTAACATAACCACAATCAAAATCAATCATCCACCATCAACAATCAACCCCATCAAAACCCCCCAAACTCATTATTATATCTATCATCCTCCTCTTCTACTCTATCAACCCACAACACTTCACCCCAATCTTTCCTCCTCCCCACACCACACATCTACCGTCTGCGTGCCCCGAAGACGTGCATACGTCATTCACTTTCTCCTCAGGCCAGCAGGAGAGAAGCCAGAGAGAAACAGACACTGGCAAGAAACCCTGGCATGAAATGTTACTCTCAGCATCCTCCTTCCTCCCCTCTCCCCAGACAAAATAAGCAACCACCTATAAAAGCAACGTCGTCTTTAATTCAGGTTGACAGGTGGGAAGCAGGCTTGGACTTGTCTCCAAAGGTGTCCAGATGAGAAGCTTGTCTTGCAGTCAGTGGCAGGGAGGGCAGGGATGTACGGGTGGCCTGGTGGCAGAACACTGCCAAGAGCAAGGGCGTAGCCACACAGTGCAGTATTGCCAGCACTTCTGCCAGGTTCAGCAGCAGGTCCAGAACCTTCTGGGCCAGGCATGTTGAAAACACCAAGAGCCTGCTTCTCACCAGGGTGTCCAATCCTATCAATATCCCATGAGGCCACCAGAAAATGAACCAGACCCACAGAATACTGACCCAGGGGCCTGGCCCCAAACCCAGCACTTTCTTCAGCCCCTTGGCTCCCAACAACCCCAGTGGCAGCAAGATAAAGACAACAAAGCAGGCCACAGCATGTGTAGACTGCAAAGCCCCCATGCCCCTGCTGGATGCCAGGGTGCAGAGTCCACGAGAAGTTTCACTGGCCAAGGTGATTGGTAACCCCAACAGGGCAGCCACCCCCCAGAGTCCCACGGTGAGCCCCAGTGTGAGGCGGGAGGACTGGCCTGCTCCGAGTTTGGGGCCCAGACAGGCATGGAACCCAATCAACAAGGCCTGGGCAAAGGCTGAGCCATACCAGAGCCAGTAACCCAGGTGGCACACGGCGGCACTGTGGGCACTGCTTGACCCTGGGGCAAGGATGGGCACCACAATGCTGAAGAGGGCACTGCCTACCACCAACTGTGCCAGAACAAGCCTGCCAGGGCAGAGCTGCCAGTGGAAGAGAGGTCGGAGAAGTGCAAAGAGGACAGCCCCACTGGTCAGGATGCCCAGGACGCTGGAGAGGATGTAGAAGGGCAGGGAGGAGTCATCGAGTAGATTACAGGAGTGGCAGGGGGCAGCTGCCTCCATTTCCTCAGTGTAGTCAAAGGTGTAATTCTCATTGTAGAAATCATCCCAAGTGGAGTTTTCAAAGTCCCACTGGCTTGAATTCCGGAGCGAGAGGGAGGGCTTCACCTGGAGAACAAACCCAGGTATGGTGGTCAGAGCAGCTGGTTTCCCCGACCGAAGACTCTGCTTGGGATGGAGGAGACCAAAGCAGGGCAGAAGCAGCGGGAGTGCTTGGGATGGGGGATAATGGAAAGCAGGAGTGGGTTCAGCAAGTGGTGAGAATGGCCAAAGCAGGGAGAGCCGGTCCTGGGAAAGCGGGGAAGGCTGCTGGAAGACCTAGAGGGACAGAAGCCAGACGGGAGGCCATGCAGGGCTCAGGGACCTGGACTGAAGAGCACATGAAGACAACTGTACAGACAGGAGACCCGACTGTGGGGGAGAGGAGGGAAAATGATTCTAAAGTGGGAACAAGGAGTGAGCTTCTAGAGGGTGAGATGCTAAGTAGGGCAAAGACCCTCAGGGCAGGGTGGGAGAAGAAAGCACAAATGGGAGTGGGTAAGAAGGGAAGGGGCTCGTGGAATGTAGCCTCCACACTCACCCCATGCAGGCAGTTCCCCATCGGTGCTGTGGGCTCAAGGAAGGCAGAGCGCAGGTCTGGCACGGCTCGGTCCTGTCCCGGGCTGTGGTTCCAAGATAAGTGCCAAGGACAAATGAAGGCCCTCAGGTCCAGGGAGGGCCATGGGAGGTGGGCAGTCAGGAAGCCTTCCTCCCACACCCACTGCCTGCCTGCCTAAGCTTCAGGCTCGCAGGGGGCAATGGCCCTGGGGGCTTCCTGTTTTGCAATTGGAATTGAAGGATCAGGTTGGGCTCTCAGGAAAGGAAGAAGGTGGGGACCAGAAGGCGGGCATTTTCCCCGAAGATGGGAAGGGAGGTTGAGAAACCAGGGGGCTTTCCAGCAAGTAAGGGTTCTTGGAGCACAAGGAAGGAAGAGGGGCCAGAGGTGACTTGTGAGGTAGAGATAAGAAAGGCTGTGGGTAGCTGGCAACTCTCCCTGCATCTCCACCCCTTTGACCAGGAAAGCCAAGGCAACTCTCTAGCCATGTTGAGGAGATAGGCTGGTTGGCTGGCTCCTGGTTCGTCTGTTCAGGCTGAGAGAGATGCCTGTGGCATGTGTGTAGCTAGCAGGGTGTGAGGATGCACCTGTTAGTGCATTTGTGCGTGGATGCAGATGTGTTATGTGTCTCGGGGTGTCTGGGTGTGGACAGTCAGATCTCCAGCTCTGGCTGTCCGTATAAGCAGAGGGAGGGCTGCCAGGGCTGCACAATTCGGCTCCTTTAGGGAGAACATGGGCACTGCTCTGGCACCTGTGGGACAGTGAATACATCTTTCATACCATGCAGAACACGTGGCAGGCGAGGCAGGCTCTCGGGTCAGTGGATAGCATATTTGAAAATGGAACTGTTGCCCACACAGTCATCTCTGTCCCTGATGGCGGGGGACAGACCTGCTTTTTGGCCTGCCATCACATGACAAGGATAGGTTCTCATGGGGGGGGAGGGGTGTGCTGCTGCTCCTCTCTGGCCACCAGAAAGAACAAGTCCCCACCCAGCAGGCAGATACCATAAGCCTCTTCACCCAGCTTCTGTCATTGTCCCCGGCTGTCTCTACGTCCCTTCTGAGTTCCAGGTGCTCAGATAAGGAGGCAGACACAGCCTGGACTTGGTGAGCTGGGGAGGGTCCCGGTCAGAATGATGCAAAGTGTTCAGCCCTCATTCCAGAAAGTGGGGGATGCTTTAGCCCCATTTCTGCTGTGAATCTTGTACCTCACTCACACATCGGTGCAGGGGTGGGCAGACACCCCTCGGACTGCGGCTCAAATTCAAGATCGGGCTACACGTGGGCTCGGAAGGGTCTGCCAAAGCTTTCTCGGATGGTGAGGATGCTGTCTCATGCCGTCTCCACTTCCTCCTGGTGGGACAGCAGCAGTGGTGTCCCACCCCATAGTCTGGAAGGCAAGGACCCAGCAACGCAGGGGGTGGATCCCCCCTTTCCTCCTGTGTGTCCTTCTGTGGGTGCCCCGGAGGTACCAGGGGCCAGACACAAGGAATCCCAGGAGCATGCCTTGTCACACATGCATCCCAGCCAGCCTTAAGAGCAGCAGAAAGAAGGCAGCTCAGCGACACGGGTAATCCAGATATATTGAGGGTGGCCCCTCTGAGATTAGCACAGGAGATTTAGAAAGATTATAAAGATACACGATCCCCTCCTTGCTCCCTTCCCCCACCCGCCCATCACAGACAGACACACACAGCACAACGGCCCCTCCCGCCCCCCCGTACAAATATGGCTTCTGTGTAGTATGGACAGAGTGTTCAGCTCCAAGAGGAAAAGTTGTTTTCCCAAAAGCGGGTGCTGGGAGACAAGGAGCCTGACAGGCCTGGGGGCCAAGTCTCCCTTCGCTGATGCTCTAAGAGGAGGGGACCCTGGCTCAGGTGAGGCTGCCTGCAGTGCCCAGGGCCCTAACCAGTGGCTGGAAGATTCATGACAGGATTACCTGAACTGAAGGGGGTGGGCAGGTCCACGGGACTGCAGCTGCCCTGTTTTGCACACCTGTTGTCAGAGCGGGGGCAGACATACCGAGGGAAGGGGAGGGAGGGATGCCGGGAGCAACCGAGGATCTGGAACAGGGCAGGCTGGTCAGTACCAGGTGAGTGAGCAAACCTCATCTCCATAGCAACCAGCAGGTGCTTCCTGCCTCCCCTCCCAGGACAGAGGGAAGACGGAAAACCAAAAGCTGGGGGCAGAGACTCCGGCCCTCTGCTGGCGGGGTACAGAGGGCCGAAAGTCCAGGGTCAGTACCAGGGAGAGGCCCGGAGGGTGCATAGCAAAGTCTGTGGCACTGACGCCGTGGCTCAGAGGAAGGGACTGTTTCAGGGGAGAGATGGGGAGGACAGGGGGAGTCAGACACATCCTGGGGCTCCTCTGTCCGGGACAGATGGGTGCTGGGGTGGCCTGGGAAACACCACAGTGGTAGGAGTCCTGACTAGTGTCCTCCACTCTCCAAGCCCTCCGTGTCACTTCCCACAACCCGTCCACCTGCCCAGGCATCCCTCTCAGCACCTCTCTCTGCCTCTCACATTGACACACGTGCACACATATAGTCACACACATACACACACACTCACACGCACAGTTCACGTTACTCCCTTCGTTTGGGCAGGAAACACCTCAGTGCAGTGAAGCTCCTTTTAGTATTTTTGTTGGTAGGTCTGCCTGGCTGCTGAGGGAGGGCAGACTAAGGGCTGGCGTGGAGATGGACATGGCACCGGGCGGCACAGGATGGGAGGAGCAGTTGCTGAGCAATGCTGTGAAGAGTGGTTGCCGTGCAACGGTCCAGGGGCCTGGGTCGCAGTAAGGGGCCCCTCGGGGGTGGGAGGGAAGCAGACACAGTTCAGGCCCCAGTGCAGTGCCTCCCCCACAGCTGCTGGAGCAAGGACAGACGGCCGTGGCCTGCCCCCTCCCCTGGGACAGTTCCTGTGGAAAGAGCCTGGCTTTGTTCATCGGGGTACAGGGGCGGCAGCAGGTGAACAGGACCCTCTGCGGCATCTTTCCTCTTCCAGTTCTCTCTGCTCTCCTGGGGATCTCCCCCCACTCCTTCCCATGGGAGCAGCATGCACTGAAGGCTGCAAAGCCTCAGGCCTCCCGGGGGGTGTCAAAGTGGCACTGGTCTTCCCGGGTCCACGGCTCATGGTGTGTGGCTGGGCAGAAGAAAAGCCACAGCCAGCCCCTGCTTGTAACAACCCTCTGCTTCCTGTCCTCACCCCTGGGGAAGTCTTGGCAGCTGCTCTTGTAGGGGATAGAAGGAGGGCTGGGGAGACGCTACCCCTCCAAGCAGACCCTGCCCTTCACGCCCTTCCCTGAGCCCTGCATCTTCTTCCTCCTCCTCCTAACACTTGAGTTTTTTTTTTTTTTTTTTTTTAAGCCCAGGACCCCCACTTCTCCAGCCTGGAGACGGATTTGATTTGGGATTGTTACAAAAATAATAATAACCCAAACGCAGAGAAGCCACGGAAAGGGCTGAGGGCAACCCTCCCCTCCCCCCCGCCCTCCTCCCTCCCCATTCCAAACCGAGTACAAAACCGCACCCAAAGCAGACATTCTGTACAGGGGGGTGGGTGGGCTGGGGAGCAAGCGGGAGGGGCGGCCCTGGGGTCTTTCTGTACAAGTCCGGGTTGGTGATGGCCCAGCCGTCCGCACGGGGCCCTTGTGGGGGGCGCAGGTGGTAGGCAGGCGCCCCTAGATGAAATATTCCTTCTTGTCATCCCCGCCTGACTGCCCGCCTTCTGCGTTGATGATGGCCGTGTCCGCGTCCGGGGCGTCGTCGGAGCCCTTGGCCTCGTGTGTCAGGTAGGTCCCTGTGTGGAGAGAGAGGCTCCTCTTTGAGGAGCAGCACCCAAGCCGCCCCAGTGCACCCTGCCCACTCCCCTGCCCACTCACTGGCTCTCAGTTGCTCCCCTGCAGTTTCTCTTAGGCATGGAGTGTTCCCACCTTCCTTAATTTGCATTTTGTTGCCAACCTCCCTCCCTTGACCACACCCCTCCATGAGTAATGACTCCTGCCCTTAATTAGAATCTCATTTACAATACAGGCAACAATAAATCAATAAAAAGAGACGTGTGTGTGTGTGTGTGTGTGTGTGTGTGTGTGTGTGTGTGTGAGAGAGAGAGAGAGAGAGAGAGAGAGAGAGAGAGAGGGGGGGGAAACCGCAGGAGCGATGCCATGGAGAACTGGCTCCAATCCACCAACTCAGGGTCTTAGGTTTTTGGCTAGACAGAGCAGGAGGCCGAGAACAAGGAATGAGAGACAACAAAAGTGGAGGAGGGAAGGTTTAAAAAAAGAGGAGAGGAAAGACAAGAAGAGAAGGTATGGGGCCCATCAGCAAAGACCAGAAGGGGAAGACTAACAGGCAGGCAGAAGCAAAGCATAGGGAGAGGGTGCCAGGGCAGCAGGGGACAAACAGAGCCTGCAGGCTCCTTGGCGTCTGGACCATCACCAAGGGATCAGCTTTGCTGCGGGCTTGGTGGTGTCGTCATCACAGGGTTGGCATCAGTGGGATTGGTGGCACTTTTTTTTTTCTTGCTCAGACACTCCAAGGAGCCGAGGGGCACTCTGAAGGACCTTCCAGCAGCCTCCTCCTTCCTGCCCGTCCTGAACTGACCTCTCTCCCCTACCCTCCTCCCCCGCTGTCTGGCCGCGGCCCTCCGTGCCCTGACCTTTGTGCCGGATCAGGTAGTGGCCCAGGAAGATGAGCAAGATGAGCAGCAGGAAGACGATGAATGCCACGATCCCGCCGATGATGGCGTGGTAGGTGCTGGAGGACGAGGGCACTGGGCTGGGGTCTGCAGAGATGGGGAACACACGGTCAGATGTGGGGAGGCACCCCTCCTCTCCTTACACTGCTCTCACTTGGCCCTGGCTCCTCACACACAGTAGGCCCTGAGGCTGTGGAATGGAGCAGCACCACTCAGCAGAGCAGAAATGCTAGATTTTATGTATCCATTTCTTGGCTTCTTGTACTACCCCTGGAATGTAGCAGTGATCTGAACAACTCTCGGTGTCACCCTGAATAAACAGATACATGTGCCCCCACCCCACCATCCATTTGAATTCCCCCTCCTCTCTCTTCCCCCTTGCACTGTTCTCTCATCACGTTCCTTCCCTATCCTCAGGCTTTCCTCTCTGCGCATCTTCTTCATGTTCTGAGCTGAGCCCTTGAGGCTCAAGGCCACTGTGCTGAGATCGGATGGAGCAGAGACTGGGAAAAGCTGCTGAAGCCCCCTGACAGCACCTTACGGAAGACAACTGATCAGGACCCTTACAGCAGTCTGCCTTCTCGCCAGTGAGACCCCAGCTCTCAGCCTGTCCCACCGGAGGACGCCCGGGACGTCCATCTTCACTTCACTGCCATCCAGAGGGGTGCGGACCATGACTGATTTGCTTTCTGCTGTGACAACTGACGTCTTTGCCATTGGGGACATGGACACTGTCCTTCATGGCAGCGGGGGTGAAACTCAGTCCACACCCACACCACAGATACGGCAAGGACAGTTCCAGCTATGGTCAGGGTCCCCAAGGTCCAAGGGGATGTGTGCAAACCCAGCACACGGTTCTGATACTTCCAAAACCCCATCAGCTGCAGCTCTGTCTCCCACCCATGGGAGCATGGCTGTTTTTCCATAGTCTCAGCTTGAGTCTTGATGCCTCATTGACTCCTGATACATTTTTTTTTTCTATGCTACCTTATGTCTCCTCAGGCTTGGCTGTGCCAGCTTTTTAGTTCCTTGCCTGTCTATGCCTTATTTGAAAACAAAACATTTGTGCTTTGATTTTTTATGCTTTGCTTGAGAGGGAGGGAAGGAGGAGACAGACCCAGAGACTTCACACTATGATGAGTTGAACGTGATGGTACAACTTGGAGCTTGATCTACCCTTGGGGTATGCTGAAAATCAAGCCAGGGTTATTATTGCAGATACTACAATGATGGAAATTCTTTACAAAAGCATGTCCGTGGCCCCAGTGAACTCTGGTGTCTTCAGTTCAAGACTGCACACCCACTGAGGAGAATCCCAGAGGAAGCTGCAGTGACTCTTTCCACCACCAGGCGTCAGCACTGGGAGCAGAATCCGTTAGACTGGCAGCCCTGGGCTGTGGGTTTCTTGCAGGGCAGAAGGGCGAGATCAGCAGACACCCATCACAAGGGCACAAGAACTTTCTCCCACTGCTGATCACCATCAGAGCCAGTCTTGGGAGATCTGGGGGCAGAGGCCAGCCTCGGTGCATTGTCCGTGCTCCTGGCATCTCACAATAGCCTTGTTTATTGTGCTGGGGCTGCTCCCACGTGCTGAGGTCGGGCCTTGGAGTCGGAAGCACCCTTCCAGACATTCTGCTCGCAAGAACTGGGGGCTCTGATCCCTGGGAGGCATGGCTGTTCTCCTCCCACCCCTGCCCTGCCGCTGCGTTAATGCTCATTTCAAGGAAGGGAATCATGGATACCCTCCCACCGACAACACATTTTCCATATTCTACAGAAAGGTTAGGAAGACTTTCTGGCAGCACCCTGCTGCCACTGGTATCTTTTAAAAGTCCACTGCCAACTTCCTATAAAAGGGCCTCTGTGCTAGGTTGTCACCGCTCCTAAAGCTGGGTTTTGTGGTCACAGCTTCTCCCGAGAAGGAGCACGCCCTGGTCCCTCTGCAAGATGTGGCCTTTGAGAAAAGATTCTGGCTGTTGTTCTACAGAAAACAAGCTTATCTTGCTTGGCTGCCTGGATGGAGTGCGCAGAGTGTGTCAGAGGTCTCCAGGAAAGGGAATGGCAGAGGCAGCCTGCATCTCATAGCTCGTCCAGGGCAGAGCAAAGAGAACAGCTCCCTGCTGGGCAGTGACAGCCATGCCCCTCTGTACTCCGGGGCCTCTACCCACAACGCACCACTCCTGCTGTCAGATGAGTGCAAGGGATGGAGGAGGATGGCTCCCTCCCCGGGCCATCCCTGCTTACCAAAGGTGACAGAGAATGTACCCCACTATTGATTTTTCACGAGTCCACTTTCCAGGGCCTGGACCCTCAGGTCATGCCACTACAGGGGGGCAGGGGTAGAAGTGGGGCTGTTTTCCCAGCTTGGAGAAGTCATCAGGAAGTGGAAAGCAGAGAGTGCAAGATGGACAGAGAGAGGAAAGCCTGGAGGAGACCTGTGGAGGACTCACCATTCACATTGAGCGTGAAGTAGGCCTTGTAGCTGCCCATGTTGCTGGTGGCTGTGCAGCCGTAGGTGCCGCTGTCACTCTTGTTGAGGAAGGGGAAGATGAGAGCACTGTCCTGGGTCATCTTGAGGGGTGGCACACTGCCCTCCTTCTCCCAGAGGTACTGCTGGGGGCTGTGGAGAAGATAAACCAGAGGGCTTCAGGAGGGCCAAGGCTGGCGAGATGCAGGAAGCAGATGGACAACTGGGAGCACAGAAGTCAAGGATTTTTTATTTCTCGCTGAGGATCCAGAAATGACAGAGGAAGTCAAGTTTTACCGAGGCTGCAGAAACTTACAGGGGACTACGACTACTCAGAGGTGAGGGGAGGGTGGAGGTTCCCTAACTGGAATCTTACTGTGATGTGGCTTCTGGGAACCTCAGGCGCTGAGCTAGGATCTGCAGAAGAAACCATGGGGACAGACAAGAATCCAGGGAGGCTCAGCTCGGAGCCAGGAGGGAAAGGTCAAGTACAGATAATAACGCGGGAGTACGGAGGAGGTGCAACAGGGGTAGAAAAGAGGTCTGCTTACACCGGATTGCCACGTCCCTCACAATGAAGCAACAGTTTCTGGCCTTCCCGGGGATGTGGAGGGTCCGGCCTAATCATCGCGGTTGGTGTGTCTGTGGAAGAAAAGAAAACAGGTGGGGTCGAGGAGAAACTTTGTACGCTGCTTAGACATCCAAAATCTTAACAATCACTAGTTAAACAAATTACAGTTACTTCCCTTAAGTGTTCAGGGCACTCAGAAGTTACGGGCATAGTTCTTCTTCTCCCTATACCTCGTGAGCCAAGACTGCAAAGGCTACTCAATGTGGGAGCCATTTCCTGTAATGCAACCTTGTGGTGATAGGCCCCTGGAAGTTCTGTCCCTGGAATGGCCTTAAAGGATGCCCTAACAGAACTAAGAAGGGTGAAAGTGGTTCATCGGCATCTAGGAAACTTTCTAGTACACTGATGAGACCTACTATACATGTCTGGCCCTACCAGTAAACCAGAACTTGCCACCTACTGAGCCTACCACGTCTCAGTTCTCTCTGTCCTGGAAGGGGACTCTGTGCCAGAAGCAATGCCTGAACAGGGGACCTCGTTTTGAGTGGCCAAATGGCAAAGGATAGGAGGGGTGTTGTATTTTGGCTGCAAAAAGGCTCTGATGCAATATAGATGGGCTCTGAGAAGGAACAGTGGCATCTGCCGTCCACGTCAAAGGGCTGCTTGAGAGGGGCAGGTCCAGATGGCGGCTCGGAACAATGCAACCAGATGCTGGGGTAGGACAACAGAGAAAGAGGGAGGGCTTCCCTGAAGGACAGAGCCGCCCTTGACAACCAGCGAATGAACCTGAGTCAGTTAACCCAAACAGGACAAAGAGGAGCGGACGGGTGAGAGAAGGGGTGTGCTGGGGCTCCACAGCCATTGAGCACCTGGGGTGTGGCATTCACCGGCTGAGCGCCGATTACCGTGGGCCCTTGGGGAGTCATTGCCAGATGGTCTAGCGTCGAACAGAGGCGTCTTTGGGACTCAGACAGGGAAGGACCTACTTTATTCCTGGCCTGAGAACAAGTCTCAGGGGAGAAGGGCCCGAGGCCCCCTGAGGTCTAACGCTAAGAACAACTAATTAGAGAAATGCCTCCTAGCAACAACAACAACAAACCTTTGAAATTTACCAAGTTATTTCTTATATATGATTGAATGCTTCCTCGCGATAATTCAGCAGAGGAAACAGAAGCCACAGAGCCACAGAGAGATGAAAATGCTTGGATCGAAACAGTACGAGTAGGAAGTGTGGACACTGGGATAGAACCTGGTTATCTCGCGATAGACTCAGAACCCACCAGGGACAGTTATGCTGCCCAGGCCCATTTCACGTTCAAGTGTGAGTAACAGGTCTGGTGATGGGAAAAACAAACACGAAAGTCAGGTACAGAAGTCAGCCCTGGGCCACCCAGAGGAAGGAGATTAAAGGCTTATTTATTTTATTTAATTTTACTTATTTTTTTTTTAAATGGCACCAAATGTTCTTAATTAATGTCAGGATAAGAAACACAGTATTTCATTACTGTGTGTCTCACGCCTTTGAACTTTAGTTTTTCTTTCCCCCTTAGTTCTTCAAACCAGAAAACGTTATTCTGGACAAGTTCCAAATTTCCTCAGATAAGAAATTCCCATTCCCCTCCTTCCTCAGAAGCTTCCTGTCTGGACTACAAAGATTCCAGGATCTTAGGAGCAGTGGCTGGGGTAGTAGTCAAACCAGGTCAGGTCAGAATCTCAAGAAAAACCTTGGGTTCCGGCGAGCAAAGCCCTTTTTCGGTAAGAAAGGGAATTAAGGATCCTTTCCCAGGCCGACTCTGCTTTCCCACAACCCACACTTCCCTGAAATCATGGCACATTAGAGAAGAAAGCTTAGTAATCCCATGTGCTTCTCTGTCTTTTATCAAATAGACTGAAGCTCAGCTGGGTACAGTGATATTCTTAGCATTCCATTCAATAAGATACTGAGTCCTAGTACTTTTTAATCCTTCAGTTAACATTGCAATTGGTAGTTCAGTCACGTGACACTGGCCTCATTCAGGGGTTGGTAGACTTATCCCTCAGGCCAAACTCTGCCAGGTGTATGTTTCTGAAAATAAAGTTTTATTGGAACACAGCCCAGCTCAACTTGTTTACATTTTGTCTGTGACTGGTTTTCTGCAGCCACAGCATAGTCAAGTAGTTGAGAGAGAGAGACCCCCTAGCTCTCCAAGGCAAAAGCTCTCACTGTGGGGCTTTCACAGAAAGACTACCTGCCCTTGGCCTGGCACTGCCACTCCTCATCTCATGTTTTGCCTTTTCATGTATCTGTGTGTGTCATTTCACGTAAAGTCATCTTTCCTGTGACCAATGCCCGTCTCATACCTGGCCTTTCTCCCCCTAAGCCCGTGACCTACATAAGACTTCAATGCGTTGAGAGGTGGATCTGTCGGCTCCCTTCAGAGACTCATGTATCACGGAGCACACGATGTTGGCTCCGTCGTCCTCCCGGGTGACTTGGAACGTCACTGAGCTGCTCACGGTGAAGGTTTTTCCATTGGGATCTTCCTGTATTCTGGTTGGTTCTCCTAGAACATGCACACAGTGTAACATTACCTACTGTGCACACATTATGGGGACCCGATTGTAGGTGTGCAAGCAGTGAGTGTCAGCCTAGACAGGCACAGGGAGTTGTGAAACAGAAACGTGTGTATAGGGAGAACGTGGGCTCGGACACACAAGTGGGTGTGGACAAACCAGCTGGCATTCCGACTGGTTCCTCTTACGCTAGGCCTTATGCACTCAGACCACAGCCACCTCCTCCTGCAGCAACCCCAAGACAGCAGATACTCACCACGGAGCTCTTGGTCACCCTTCCGCCAGATGAGCTGTGCTGCAGGTTTGCTTCCAGAGGACTGACAGTGCAGGGTGGCTGTCTCCTTTTCCCGTAATGATGACTTGTAACCCGTGATTATGGGCTTCTGAGGGATGCCTGCCAAGGATAGGGAACGGCCAGGATAGGAAGTACAGGCTCCGTGAGGACACACGTCATCTCTCCCTATGGAGACGGCCTCTCTGGGGTCAAGAATACCTGAGTTTTACTTTGTTTTATGCTGTATAGAAAACTACAGAAATCAACTTTTTGAGGACCAGAAGTTAAGACCATGGACAGGAGGTATGGCTGTGGGGAAATATTAGCACACCTAAGACATATGCATGACCTGATGACCCTAGCACCACTGATGGTTACAGAAATAGCGGGAGGCCCAGGGAAGCAAAGAAACTGAAACACAGGATAAATATGAAAGCCTATAGACAGATGGGATGCGTGATTTTACCCAAATGCAACATATACATCTCACGTTTCCCTTGCCAATCTCTTGCTTATCCCATAGCAAGAGAAACGCAGGCTAACTTTTCTAAAACCCTTGGAGGCTTGCCTGACACCAGGCTCCTTCAGGGCCCACCTAGGGAGGCTGGCAGCAAGGAAGCGTGCTGTGGAGTCCCACGGGTATGGGAGACTCACCGAGTACAGTGACGAGTGACTTGGCTGTTCGCACAGGCATGGTGAAGATGGAGCAGGTGTACTCGCCCTCGTCGGCCAGGGCCACGTTGCTGATGCTGATGCTGAGCTCACGGGGCGTGGAGCTCACCAGCTGGATCCGATTATCTCGAAGGGCTAGGGAGATGGGCAGAAGCAGAAGTCAAGTTTTTACAGGCACCTGTCACATCTAGCTTCCAAACCCAGGCCAGCGAATTGGGTTAAGGGGTTAGTTAGTGTGGAACAAGGTGGAGGAAATCTGCTCTTTAGGTCACTTAGTCACTGCTTGGGGCCATTCAGCATGGTAACTCAAGAAATACTGTTTAGTAGTAGGGTGTATCTTGCATGTTTCCTGTGAGATCCCTGGGACAACACTGGCAGCTGCCTGTTGGGGCTTCCTGCAGGGAGTGGTCACTCAGACTCCTAAAGGACTATGCATGGTCAAAGTCAGAGCTGAAAATTACAAGTTTCTCTAGAATCAGCTGAGGGGCCCATGACTGTTGCTCCTCAAATAGCATACCTCCATGTTTCCAGTCCCTGAACTGCAGGGTCAGTGTGAGTCAGCCCAGAGACAGACAATTCATGGGACACTACCTCTCTTCTCCCCAAAGTAGAGAGTCTGCTGAGCAGGGTTAGACCACTGCAAGGATGAGTCCTCATGATCCTTCACTTGGCACTTGAGCACCACGGTGCCGCCAGCCACCACGGTCTCATCAGACGTCCATGGCTGACTATCTGTTGGAATAGAGCAGAGTTAATTTCTTGAGCTTTGCTTGGCCCCTCCACCCATTTCTGGGCCAAAGTCTCATCTAAGTCAGACCATCCAAGGGCCTGGTATGTGTAAGCTCTCTGTGTTCCCTTAAGGCTTCATGGTGGGGGGTGGGGGATAGGAAGGGTGGTGGTGGCGGTGGGCGACACAGATCTTATTATCTCTTGCTTTGAATACACAGAAAAACAGTCACTTGTTGGATGTTTGCAGAATGAACTGACAGGACCACAAACACTTAGAGAGTTTAAAGGCACCCCAAATTTGCACATACCACTGCACATGTATCCTTCCTGATATTGTTCTACCATTCACCTCTGAGGACACACATACGTTATCTGCCATTCCGTGCTCTGCCTTCCTGACACCTCCTACCCAATAGAGCAAGCACAGGAGAAGCAGTTGTAATAATCCCAAGACTACAATGGGGAAAAGGCCAAACCAGCCCTTGGGTTGTACATTCGTTTATATAAGAGGCAGCCGATAAAACTGCAAAACAAACAAAATATGGGGAATAAAAACAGAAGCACTTGGACATACTTTCTCATTCTTCTGACAGTAACTTCCCTTCTGTCATCCACTCCCTTATCAGACTCCCCTTTAGTGTCAGTCCCTACCCATCTCCCTACCCACAAACCTGAGTCACCGTTCTTCTGTCATTGTGCAGAGCGAAGGATTAAGTTTTTCTCTCCGTGCGGTGAGAATATGTTTTCTAATCCCTCTCTCCTTAGTCAAATTAAATGAAGCAAAATAGGGAAGGTCTGATGGGATCTCTTGCAGGTGAGCCATTTGCACCCCTAGCACCCCTTCTGGTTAGGCCTATCTGAGTGCCATTCAGACTTCATGAATGCCTGGTTCTTTTACCCAGTGTTGTTTCCCATTTCCCAAAGCGAGAGCTCTGGTTTCCAATATTGATTCCTTCACCTTTAAGACTTGTCTTTCTGTACTGAATAGCTCTGACCTCCACAGAACTTATCTAAAATAAATATCTTCTACTCTTTGAAATATCCACAAAATCTGTCCCATGGCCCTGGGTTATGTAACTAACATTGCTCACCCTGAATAGAAAACTCAAAGATTAGCTTCCGTATGAGGGTATGTTCAAAAAGTTCATGGAAATAGAATTCAGAAATCAGTGTATGTTGGTTCCAAACATCAAAAATGCTCATGGGCAGGTGTTCCATGATGCACATCTTCCATTAGCTTTGTTACAATCCTTCCTATTGCACAAATATCACTGAATGTTTGCACCAACTTTTCTTTTAATTCGATTTTCTACACACTTTCTGAAGTACCCTTATTTTTCCCTGTTTTAAAAGACAATCCTGTGCCATCTCCATCACCGATCTTACCCCTTTCCTGTCAACTCACAGCTTTCTTTCTGGCTACGGGCACTCCATGTTCGGGAAGCAAACACTGATTATCCCTGGCAGAAGAGAGGTTCTGAGGAGGAAAGGTGCCTGTGCTGGAGCTGATCCCCAGTACCAGCTGGGGAGGGCAACTGCTTCCAAACCGGAGGACAAAGTCTGGTGGCTAGTGGTAGTATTTAGCATCATAAAAATTCAGAACCCAGGGAGCTCTTAGGGATCTTGAAATTCTAAAGGTGCAGGCAATGAGTCAATGCAGATGAAATGGCTGCCTAAAATCCTTCTGTGAGTTCTAGTTGGCATGAGAACTTGGTTCTCTTGCCTCTCAACACAGTGCTCTTTTTCAATGGAATGTTTCTCAAGCAATCGTCTAACTTGGGAGTGATAGCTAGGATTTTGAGAACCAGTGACGGAACGGGCTGAGCAAATTTGGAAGTGATATATCCCTAATATCTTCCAAATGAAAGGCTTGGGAGACCTTTAATTTATCCATAGCCACATTCTGCCCCTTCTTCCTTTAGAAGAATGCTACCTTGATGGTGTCTGCCCACATTCTCTTTATTCTGGGTGATACATTCATTCCCTAAGAATCTCTTTTTTATTTTTTGGATGATGTGTAGGGTGAATGTGGGCCTTTGTACTGAGTAAGGAGGAAGGGGTAGGTGCAAGAGCAGTCGGTGGTGCAGACCTAAGAATTCCAAAGTCAAATGGGAAGAAAGAGTTGTGCGGTAATGAGGGGAGTGAGAACATGGCGTGAAGGTCACATGAGTGGGAGACAATGTGAGGATGAGTGAGTGAGGAGCCGAGGGACATTGAGATGAGGGGCCTGGATTCTCACCTTGACTGGCCAGCATGTCAGGGCTGCTCCAGACTGTGGAGCTGATGGCCTCGTCCAGTGGAGCCAGAGTTCCCAGCTCCAAATCCTGCTCCTGCCAGTAGCCTGGGGAGAGAATCTCCATCAAGGATGAGCCCTGCATGTGTCCTGCTTCCGTACCGGGCTAGGCTGTTGTTGCTGGGGATGTGGGAAAGGCTAGGCCTGGATGGAAATCGGTTTTATCAGCATACCTAGGAGAAGGTGGGTTTCTCACCAGGGAGAGAAGTGAACTAGAGGTCTAAAAACAGAAGTGACTTTTCCTCTGAAGGAGTGAGTCCCAGGAGGCTGCTGAGCTTTACCAGTCAATCATATAAACTGACAGCCAATGGGCTCTTTGAGGTCATTCAGTCCAGTTCTCCCATTTCACAGATGACAATGGGACCCGTTAAGGGTAAAAGCGACTTAGTGAGAGATAACCAAGAAGTTTTTCATTCCTTGATCAGGGTTCCTTCTGCAACACTCTATAATCCACTCAAATAACTAGGTTACTGATTCAAAAAGAAGTTTGTTCTCATTGGATCCTTTTCGTAGATCTAACCAATTGTCATTATCATTCCTCTCCTGTGGAGTGGAAGCAGAATGAAACGACTCTCCCAAGGTCATTCACAACCAAAGAACAAAGACGAGAAATTAAATGCCCGATATCGAACTTGAAACTCCATTTGTCTCAAGGTGAAATTCCGCCATTGAAGAGAGAGGGCAGGGTCGAAAGTTACACAGTACGCTGGCCGATTCTGCCTTCTCTGAGGTGCTAATTCTCTTTGCCCTTTTCCTATTTCACCCCCAGTCCGTCTTCAACACTAACTCTGTTCCTTCCGATGGCACAACAGACTCCTTTTCTTTTCAAGCAGTGGGTTAGGATGAATGCCTCACTTCCTAGTGGTTGCCCCTAATCCCTTTTGTAAAGTACTGTGGCGTCACTGGCCAATTTCCCCAACCCAACCCAGAGAGAGGCTGAGGGACAAAGAAATCAGCCACGCGAATCTTTTCAGGATCTCCCGCCAGAGCGCCCAGCAGTAGCCAATCAAGTGGATAAAATCCTGTGAGGTCATTAGCTGCCGAGCAGAGCCCCAAGCCGTCGCTAGCGTCGGTCCAGGGGTCCAGCGCCAACTTCTCCAGGGGTTTCCTTTTGCGCGCGCCCGGGAAGGGAAGAGCGCCCGCCGGAAAGGGAACAGAAGGCAGCGCTGGACGCGAGAGAAGCTGGAAGCTGTGAAGTGGAAATTGAAAAGGGACGTGGGCCATAAGCTTAGAGTTTTCAGGAAAGAAAGGGAAAAGAGACCAGGAAAGAGGATTGCTAAACCAGGGGAGGGGATAAAGACCGGACAGGAAGAGGGAGGAGGATGGGGGAGGGAGAGAAAGGGAAGGCCAAGCCGGGGGAGAAGAAGGGGTGGGGGTGGGGGATGGGGTGTAGGGGTGTTAGGGAGATGGAGTCCTGAGGGAAGATCGGATTCAGAGTTTCCAGGCCTCCTTGTTCCTTGTTTCCCAGTGAATTTGAGTTACTTTGTTCTCCTGTAGGAGAAGCGTTGATGCCCAAGTGGGGCAAGGGAGTAGAGCAGAGGGAACAGAAAGAAAAAAATTAGAAGAGGCAAAGAGAAGCAAGCAGGAGAGGGGCACGAGAGAAGTGTGGGTGCAGACAGGCCAGAGGGATGAAGATGGGAGAAGGCAGAGGGACCAGAGCAGAGGCCAGGGCCGTCTGATTGAGCCGGGAGGTTCTTCCTGGGGGCCCAGCCTCTCGCCCGCTGCTGGCTGCAAACACCGAGGAGGAAGCTGGTGAGTGCTTCATGTCATTTTCTGAGTTGTGCGTTTGTGGGTTTGTGTTTGGGCCAAGGCCAACACAGTAGCAAATCAGATTGATTGTGCTGCAGTGGAGAGGTGATGGGGGGTGGGGTGGTGTTGGGGAGGGTACCAGTGTTCCATCGTGCCATGTCAGTATCCAGGCTCCAGAGTAGGCATAAAATAGGACTTTGCTCAAACAAGCCAAGGAAGAAGTCCTGACATACGTTGTTAGGGAAGTCCAGTTTCCAGAGTGGATTTTCAGCCACGCATGGATTTAATCTCCTGATCAGCTGGTGAGAGCGGATGCCAGAGAGACTCCCTGAAGCTGACTTTCAGAGAGGTTTAGGGACTGCCCTGCCGACCCACAAACAGCACCCTTCCGGAGCCCCGTTCCTCCCTGGTGCTGACTTCTCAGCAGTGCCTGCTACTTCCAGCATTTCAGCACACACTGGGCTGTGGTTTACTTATCAGTCATCCAAACTTGCAGTTGGCGAGGAGCAGGACTCTACCTCACTGGCCTGGTGTCTTTAGCACACAGTGGGGTCTCAGGGCACTTCCTCGGCTCACAGCAGTCATTCAGGCACTGCGCAACCATGGGGTTAACCAGCCACGGTGTGAGGTTACCCACAGCCCAGAGTAGCCTACACTCTCCAGCTCTTTCCCCTGAGCTTTGTTCTGCATCCCCCCACCCCCAGTTGCCTTTCCCTTTGCTCACACTTCTTTCATCTTTCCCTCCCTCATGTATTTTTCTGGCAAATTTTTCCTACATAGCATAAATCTGTGAAATACCTATCTAGATCAATCACCCCAAACTGAATTGTTTGGATGAGGGAAGGGACTGATAATTAATCAGTTGGTCTCCAATAAACAGTATCCTGGCGAATGTACACAGTGTATGACATATGTAGGCTGGCAGAAAAGTCACTGGCATGTTGATTTTACAGAACTGTTGTAAGAGCTGGCAGGGTGGCTGGATCCTTTTCCCACGTGGGTGATGTTTCTCCCTCTGATTCTTAACTGTACTTAGTATTTTACATCTGCTCTTGAGATCTCGGTTCACACGCCTGACAGTGTGTCCTCGCTGGTTTTGTAACGTCGGAAGCCTGTGGTGATGGGTTCTGAACGGCCACTCCCCTTGCAAGCAGATGTGTGAACCACAGCGAAGTCGCAGACATCATAGCCTGAGTTGAGAAAGTTTCACACACCTTCTCTGGATTCTGATTGTGCCCGTCATGTACGAGGCCAGCCTAAGTTCCTTCAAAGAATTCAGACTGGAAAGGGAAACGTAGGGAGGGCTCTGTCAAGGGAGCTGCCTTTGAAGTGCAATTAGAGGAAATTCTGCTCAGAGACACTGAAGGAGGCCAGACACAGAGACCACACAGCCACTGGTGAGGGAAGGCCTGGGCTGCTGAGGCAGGAAAGACAATGAGAAAGCTTCGGTTAGTCTGACCGTGCTGTTTCCCCCGAGAAATCATCCGACCCTCCATTGTCTGTGGATGACATCCGGGTTGTTAGCCTGACCTGTGCAGTCCTGTGTGGCTGGATGAACAGGCCTAGCCATTATCTTTTCTGCACTTGTCTCATCCCTTATTCCGGACACAGAAAGTTCTAGAGAATCCTCTCCCAGTTCCATTCCCTTCTCCATGAGTAGGATGTCTCTGTGGGTCATGCCCTTCGTCTTCCCTCTCATGAATAAGTCCTTTTCACCCCTTAAAGACTACTTTTAGTGGTGGCACCTCCTTCAAGAAGTCTTCCCTGATTTCCCCAGATGGAAATGAGGTCCTGTTTCTCTTGATCTACTTTATCCACTTTCCTTAAATCACTTTCTACTTTGGCTTGCTTCCTAAAGAAACTCCGAGTAGTGCTGATATCTGATTCATCTTTGTGTCCGCTGCTGGCTCAAATACAGCATATTACACATAGAAGGTGCCTAATAAATATTTATTTATTAAGTGAATCCGATGCTGGGCATCATCTTTTGTGAGAACTAGATTGCAAACCTGCTGGTACAGAGGAAAGAGCAAACCATTCAGGATGGAAGAAACGGCCTGCCGAGGAGAGGGGAGCACCTAGAGACTGAAGCTGTAGCAATCTGTGACAGAGGGAGCTGACTGTCATCAATATACTGTGTGTCAAGATCCAAATTACATGCTCCGTATTCATTATTCCAGAACAACCTTTTCATCAGAATTATTATGCACATGTGAAAACTGAATTTAAGAGCTTGTTCATATGATGTAACTAATGAGAGCTGGGATAGGACAGTCTTTGAGCTGAGGTCCCTCTGGCAGCAAAGCCCAGGCTTTCTCCATGTCACCCCTATTACTTGGGAAGCATGCCTGTGTGTGTTACTGGTGGGTAGGGAGTGGAGGGTGAGATTCCTCTTGAAATGCCAGCGAAGGGTGACTCACCCAAACAATAAACACGACACCTGTATGTGCTAGAACAAAAATAACAGCGTAGCAAATTGGAGATGGGTACTTGAGGCAGTGGCCATGCTCTCATTGGTGCTTACTGAATTCTATCTTGTAGGATTTCTTGATGTGTCTTTTGTAGAACCCCAGTGGGGTGACTGAGTGCACTCCTAAGTGCCTGGCAATACAGTTAACCAAGCTGCAAACTCATTTGGTTATGCGTGACTTAGCCCCCTCCCGCCAAAATCTAAACAATTTCTGAGTGTTCCAGAACCTGGGCCTAGATTGGGTTCTAGGTCTTCTTTTTGTTTTCCTCCATTTGCCTCGAGGCGTTCATTCTTGTTTTATTCGCCCATGGGTTTCTAGTACCTTCAGGAGCCTCTGTACTTCCAAGGACAGAGAAGCCCCTTCACCCACTGATTTCCTTCTGGTTGCTTGTTCAGGTTGCGAGTAGAGAGGTGGGAATCAGGGCTTACTAATGTGTGCTTTAAAGCATGCACTGGCTCCCATGATTGAGTTTTTCAGTCCTGGCACAGGAACTCACACATAGTAAGTGCTCAATAAATATTTATTGACTGAATAAGTGAGTGACTTACATGAATAAAAATGTATCATGTCTCCCATATCTGTGGCTCCAGTAGTGGAGTCTATGATAGACCACCAGCACAGTCCCTCGTCACTTGGATTATGTGTGTTCCCTGCCCTGCCTGTTCTGGAGACCTACAACACAGTGACCCTAAGGCATAAACAGAGTCACAAATACATATCTGGCCTGGTTGGACAGGGGAATAGGGTTTTCTTTCCTACATAGCTTTGCTGCACCAGGGCTCAGGTCCAGAGCCCCACTCCCCTGACTGTACTGAAAGCCATCTCCCT